TTGCACATATTTGTTGACGCGAGCGAAGACGCATTCGGAGCCGTAGCATTTTGGAGAGCAGAGAGCCCGGACAAAACGGTGCAAGTCAGTATTGTGTACGCCAGGTCAAGAAGTGCGCCGCTCAAGACATTAAGTATTCCTAGATTGGAGTTACAAGCTGCCGTATTAGGATCGCGTATGACGACAACTATAATTGAAGAGCATACGTTGCTCGTAGATCGCTGTGTCCTTTGGAGCGATTCAAGAACGGTTCTCAAGTGGATTGCAAGTGAGCATCGTCCTTACAAACCCTTTGTAGCCCATAGAGTGGCGGAAATCCTAAGGGTGTCTAAGCCGTCTGATTGGAGATGGGTGCCAACAAGAGAAAATGTCGCTGACGAAGCAACCCGGATAAAAAATTGTGTTAATCTCAACCCATCCTCACGTTGGTTCATGGGTCCAGATTTTTTATATCAGTCAGAGCACATTTGGCCCACAGACGATACACCCGTTGTGAACGCCGACGAGACCGAAGAACTTCGGCCGAAATATGCTTTATTAATTACCAGAAGCAGCATTTTTGAATTTAACAGATTTTCATCGTTTCTTAAACTGAGAAGAGTTGTTGCCTGGGTCCTCCGCTACATTCGTAATAGCAGATCGGAACCTGCGGAGAAGATGTCAACATATGGGTTAATGGCCAAGGAGCTTGACGCCGCCGAACGACTGATATGTCGGCACGCGCAACGCGAAGCATTGGTCAATGAAGTGAATCTACTGGAGAAAGGACTAAGTCTGTCAAGTGAGAGTCCACTCTACAAACTTTCGCCGTGGCTAGATAGCGAAGGTGTTCTCCGAGTACACGGGCGATTGGATGCTATCAGTTGGCTCGCTTATGATATGAGGAACCCTATAATTTTGCCATCTCATCATGTCGTATCGAGGCTCGTAGTCGCCCAAGAGCATAAGCGAATGATGCACCAAAATACGGAGGCAACTATTTGTATGATTCGCCAGAAGTACTGGATCCCAAACTTGAGAAAGGTCATTCGTGGGGTCATTGCGAATTGCAATATATGCAAACTAAGGAAAGCAAAGCCGTCCGTACCGATGATGGGAGAACTCCCAGAAGACCGCGTAAAGCCATATGTGAGGCCTTAAACGTACACTGGAATGGATTATTTTGGCCCGGTGAATGTGACTGTCGGCCGAAGAACTGAGAAGCGATGGGTGGCTTTATTTACGTGTTTAACAGTGCGCGCCATTCATCTCGAGGTTGCTTACGATCTGTCGACGGATTCTTGCATATTAGTGATTCGGAACTTTATGAACCGAAGGGGCGTCCCAAGAAGAATAAGATCGGATAATGGCAAGAATTTCATTGGCATAACTGGTGAGGTTAAGCGTTTTTCAGAGGTGTTCGATTGCTGTGCGCTGCAGGGTGAGCTGACATCGAAGGGCGTAGAATGGGTTCTCAACTGCCCTGAAAATCCGTCTGAAGGCGGCGCCTGGGAACGTATGGTGCAGTGTGTGAAGAAGGTCCTGTGTTATACAATGAAAGAGGTGAGTCCCAAAGAGCATACGTTCCATAGTCTGTTGGTGGAGGCGGAAAATGTAGTGAATTCGCGCCCACTTACGCACCTGCCGTTGGCTCCTGATCAAGAAGAGCCTTCGACGCCAAACCATTTCCTGCTGGGCAGTGCGAATACTGCGCAGACACCAAGTTGTGACGAACCCGATCAGAAACTTTGTTACCTACGGAAGCAGTGGCGAGTGGCCAGGCAGATGCGAGATTCCTTCTGGAAAAGGTGGGTAGAAGAGTATTTACCAACGCTGACCCGTCGGACGAAGTGGTGTGTTCCAACGAAGCCGTTACAAGAAGGTGATCTTGTTTTAATCTGTGACAGCAAGGTACCCCGAAAGGAGTGGCGTCGCGGCCGGGTAAAGACGGTGTATCCTGGGAAAGATGGTCAGGTGCGTCGGGCCGACGTGTCGACTTCGTGTGGAACGATCCAACGACCTGCGTCCAAACTTGCTAAGCTGGATGTAGTTTGTAGTGAATCGGGGTCAATTCACGGGGGCGGGGATGTCATAGATTAGCGAAATGTAATTCTGGTAACTCTGTAATAGTTAAAGATTTTTGTAACTGAATAAAATTGCAACGCTGTGTTCCATTCCCTGTTTGCTATTTGTTGATCGAATTGCCATATAAATTCGGGCAACGGTTCTGGTCGATCATTATTATTTATATCACCAAGGCAAACCGGGAGTGAAAAATACTGTAAATTAAACTTGTGCAAACGCACATGTTAAAATCAGAATCCCGGTGTCGTGATACTTTAAGTCGTGGAACCCAATGAGTTCGACTTTGTTTCATTCGCCAACTGCATTTACCGACACATTCCCATACGGTATACGATTTGATCGATTTTCAAATTGTTGTTGTAGCGGCAAACTAACTCCGCTTAGGAATAGGCCGGAGTCCCAGGGAACAAGTTGTTTCAACGGTTTCAGTCTAGAAGAGCCCCCCTTAGTTGAGTTTTAAGAGGCATGCATACTGCACTTACTTTTGGTAAGTCGGGCTCGATTGCAATGGGTGGTGGTTTGACTCGGAGAACGCCGTTCACTGAAAGAGGGTTCAACAAGGTCTTAATGGGATAATGACAATCTGTCTTGTTGGGTTTGATAACGATTTAAGAGAAGAGGTTGCAAGACCTTAAGTATTCCTCCTGCTTGTTTAGGCACAATTCCTCCAGATGGGATGAAGCGGGCGACAGCGGACACATATATACAGCGGGGTGAGTGTTCACTAAAGAGCACTAAAGGAGTTATTAGTGAATTCCGCGAGCTCGGGCCGGTTATCTTTTTCTTAAGTTGACGAACGTAAAGTTCTTTACCTTCTGTTCCCGTTATTGAAAGTTTCTAGCTCGGTTAAGGTTTAGGTCGAACAGCCTTCTACGGGTTTGATCGCCAAGTTTTCGTCGCATTTCTAATGACTTTACCAATCTCTCTAAGGAGAATTCTATTGTTCTGTGATGACATTGATGATTCCAACGATATTTTCTGTGTTATTAATGTCGAGCGAGCGATAGAAATAGTGAAGATTGATCTGAGCTGTCCTGATGTTCGGTGAAATCGGACACCAGCACGTCCTAACCATTTCCCGGTGCTCATATGGGGTTTAGGCCCTCTGACAGTTCGTCGAGTTCTGTTCCGTTCTCAACCTCTATTGCATCTTACTGAGTCTCTTCTTTTTTTAGCCAACCTCTGTTCCAGTTGCTCCCATTGGGCCCGGGGTGATTCTGAACTCATATTTTTTTGGAATTTTTCCAATACTTTGTTATTCCAGCGCCGCTGAGTCC